TCATGAGACCCTGGAACACTGTGTTACTAGCATCTAAGTCACCCCACAGTTTTGGGGCAGCTTCACTGTGAATGGGGAGTGTGGGGCTGAGGGCCCTGCATGTCTGTCCCTCACCTGGCTCCTGGCTTTATCAACATAATAGGAATGCATGTCCCAAATCTTTGTGTTCCACGTAGGCAACAAGAGAGTGGCAGGCACTGAATGCACATATATTTGTAAATAACAAGAATGACATGGCTGCCCGCTGTTATCAGATATCAGAGCTGAGGCTAAGAGACTTGAGACTGACAGAACGTCTTCATTCCCACACCCAGCTGTGCTTGGGAGCGCTTCCTCTGTAACAGGTCTGGCTCCGGACCAGCCTTCAGAGGGCTTAGCTTTCCCTTCCTCAGTCTTCCCCAGTTCTCCAGGTGGGGTGAGGCCGCCCCATTTCCAGACTTTCTCCTCGTCAGGCCTATTATTCTAAACTGTGGTTTTCCACAGTCCCTATGGGACTGGACTTGGGGAGGAGGTCCACTTGGCACAGATGGGCCCCAGGAGGCCACACCCACGACATGGGATAGAAAGCTGAGGGTGCAGAGGGTGAGGCTAGGCAGGCCCTGGGTGAGGAGTGCAGAGCTGGGTCAGACAGGAGGCCAGACCTTCCCCTTTCTGGAGCTCTTTCTGCTCAGGTGAACATGTGAAACTTGGTGGCACTGCTTGGCCAGCCAGGAGCCCGGAGCTGCCTTGTGTAGTGGCAAGACCAGGTGGTGTGGTCGGGACTACCAGCGGAAATGTGACTGAGTTCACGGGCAGACAGAATCTGACACAGGATGCCATAGAGAGGGCGTCAGGGGAGTTTGCCATGATGACTGAGGTCTGGGTCCCTGTTGGCGGTGGGAACCCCAGAAAATTCCACCAGGCCTGTGAGGGTGAGTGGGTGAGTGATAGGAAGGAGCAGATACAGATAGGCCCCTGTTGGATGGGCCCCAAGGACCACAACCTTGAACACTGTGCCCCATTCTGAGTGAATCGGGACCACAGGCCTACAAGGGACCCATCAGATAGGGCCCAGAGACCCACCCTGAAAGCCTTTCTGCACACTCCAGTCAGTAGTCCTGGGCTGGCTCTCCCACCCCAGCCCTAGCGGGGCCTCCCTTGCTCCACCTGGGCTCATTTCCCTTCCTGATTGCAATCAGCCCAGTCTGCAGAGGAGGCTTTCCCTAGGCTGGGCTGACGTAACACCAGCCCCGTAAGGCCATCCCCAGGCAGTCAGCTCACAGACTCCCAACCAGGGCACCCTCCATGCCTCTGACTCCACCTCCCTAAGCCTTTAGGAGCTGACTTTGCCTCCTATTTCTCAGGGGATACAGAAACCATTTTCCTCTCCTGCCACCAAACCAGCAGACACAATCCATTACACCCCCGCTGCTGGATGGACCGGGCCCACCCAGATGGCTTTTCCCTGAGCCCTCCGCTCAGGTGAGCATGTGACGCCCAAGGCTGGGAGCCCTCCCTGTGTGCATGCCCCTCGGGCACCCACTGCGCTGGCCCGCCACCCAGCTGTCCAGCCCATTCTCAGCTCACCTCCAGCGGAGAGATCTCCAAGCTTCCCTGTCTGGAAAGATCCTTCTCTGACTCCTTGACTCCTCTAGCTGCCCCCATCTCTCCCCTTCCTTCAGAATAAAACTTCAAAGCATCTACTACCCTCTGTCCCACCTTCACTCATTCCTCAGCCCATCGCCACCAGCTTCTACCCTCACTACACACTAAAATGCCTCCGCCAGAGGCACCAGTGTCCTCTGGTAAAAAATTCCAGGGGCTCCATTATCCTCACCGTACTGGCCCCCTCCCGCCAGCCTGCATCACCCCTTAATCTATTGCTTTCTGGTGCTCAGAGTCTGGAATCAGACAGACCTGCTTGCGTTCAATCCTGGTGACGTCACTTCCTAGCTTTGGGGAACTCAGCTTCCCTGAGCCTCAGTTTCTATAGCTGTGAAATGGTGGTAATGATAATACCTGCCCCATAGGCTCACTGTGAGGATTAAATGAGTCAACCAGGGAAAAGAACTGAGCGCCCAGCATTTGCTAAGTGCTGCTCAGTGGACGTTAGCTGTTCGAGTCTTTACCTCCACGCAGTTCTCTGCCTCTGCTCCAGAATCCACCCGGCGTGGCCTCCCCACCACTGACGGTCCAGAGAACCCCCCTGCCCCCTCACTGGCCATCCTGCTGTCCTGACTCTTCCTGGCCATTCTCCCCGTAGTGGCTAGACTGGACTTCCTGGAACCCACACTTTCCAGGGCCACACGCCTCCCTGGCTGAACACCCCACAATGCTTCCAATGCTCCTAGCATGAGGCCTGAAACCTCCTTCTCCTTTGGTAGCCTTTGTATGTATTTTTAAAACAAGAGACAAATACTATAAATGCCAAAATTTCCAGCAGCAAGACTCCGGTTTTCTTTACTATAAGGCCCTACAAAGTGAGGGCTTTAAAAGGAGCATTTGCAGGAATGTTCATCCTCCCTAGCTTCAAAATTGACTGAACTTTAAAATTCCCTTTTAAATTTCCCAATTTAAAACTGAATTTAAAAAAATAGAGGTTTTTCTCTATAAGAAATCACATGTTTTTGTGCTCCGGTTCCCTAAAACTTTTATATAGAAAATAACACCAACTCATGGTTGAATAGTGAACCCCCTGTGTCTCCAGGGCAAGGACCCCCAGCCCTACCCAAGCTGAGTACTTTCTATTTTTTTTTTCTTCTTTTAAGCTCAAAGTCTAATAGGGCAGACAAGAACAAATTGTGGTAATACAAGGAACAAATGTTGCATGAGGCCTAAACAAATTATGTTGGGAGAGCAGACGATAATGTCTCACATTTATTAAGCTCTTATGTTATGACTCAAGTATTTATTTGTTAGAAAGAGAGAGCGCACAAGCAGGGGCAGTGGGAGAGGGAGAAGCAGGCTCCCCACTGAGCAAGGAGCCCGTTGCAGGACTCGATCCCAGGACCCTGGGATCATGACCTGAGCCGAAGGCAGACACTTAACGACTGAGCCACCCAGGCGCCCAAGTTGAGTACTTTAAATCAGAACTTCTGCAATGTCATGTGAATCCACCCGAGGGTCTTGCGAAATTGCAATTTTTGATTCAGAAAGTCTGGGGTGAGGCCTGAGCATCTGCACTTCCAACAAGCTCCCCACTGAAGCGACAGTTCTGAGGTCCAAGATGAGAGGAGCAAGGCTGGCCGTCGGCCTCTCCCCACAAGACTGTGAGTTTCCGAAGGAGAGGGACCAACTCTGTCCTCTTCCCAGGGCCTACACACAGCAACTGCTAATAAAAGTTTGTTGGATGAATGATGCCTAGTGAGTCCCGGACCATAAGGTTCCCTGTGTGTTGCCTCATTTCACCGTGCCTCCGAGAGCCTCCCCATGCTCTGCGAGGATGCTCAGGGCCCAGGTCCGGGACCCTCCTAGCCTGTGGCTGAGCGGGGAGCCCTGCATCCTGGCTACAGGCATTATTCTCTCAGCCCTGCCTTGGGCCACAGCTTCCTCACCTGCCTCCTCTGTGGCCACATCCTGGTCCTTGTCTTTACCAGATCTGTTCCCTGCTCGGAGGCCTAAAACCCGAGCCCGTTCCCCTGCCTCAGCATAACCGCCTACCCTTCATCTCCCCACGCCGGGTGTATCACATCTGGCTCTTCCACGCCGCCTCTCCTGTTCCACCGCCCCAGTCCCAGTAATCTCAAGGAAGTCTTCCCCACGTTCTGCCACGTGCACCCCTTTGCCAAAAGCCCCTGTCCTGGGCCTGCGTCGGGGCCTGACACGCCTCCTGAGGCAGTGGTCCCCCTCTCCCTTCAGGGGCTGCCTCTGGGCCCCCCACCCTCCTGGTTTTCCTGCTTCTTCTCTAGCTGCTGCTCTCGTTCTCTAGGGCCTCCTCCACGGTCTGTTCCTGCCTGCTTCCCCACTCCGCAAAGCCCTCCTACGGGGCCTGGGCAGGGATCCAGACCCCCGCAACACTGCTCTCTCCGCTGTCCGCCGGCCCCCATCGCTAGAGACCCAGCCTGAAGCCAAAAGTTGCCCTCCCCTCTTCCCTGCCTCATCCCTCACAGCTTCCAGTTCCACCTCCTAAAGCTTCTCAGGCCAGCCCTCCCTCCTGTTTCCCAGGGACAGTTTCCTCAAAGGCCCCTATCCTCAGGTCCCTGAACCCAGCACCTCCGTGCTACCAAAGGGACTACCCAGGGCTTGCAGCCAGGCCTCCACTAGAGGTTAAGATCCCATAACACAGGGCAGAGTCAGGCTGTCAGACCAATGAAAAAAGAATGGGCATCTGGTGCCTGGGCTCCATCTGGCCCTCCCCGCCCCGCCCCCCCGCAGCCCCCGGCCCCAGGGAACAGAAAGTGCTGAGGAGAAGCAGTGCAAAGGCCACGGGGCAAACCACTGGGGGCTTTAACACCAGAAACTCAGCACTGGGGTGGGGGCTTGTCAAGAGATGTGTGCTGAGCCCACACATGAACAGTTAGCTGTGTGCCCGGCTTCTAGACACACTCTTGTCTGTTCCAGTGGGCCTATCGCTTGGACACCCACACAGGACCAGGCAGTGCCAGGCAGGGTGGGCAGCAGAGGGTCAGAGCTGTCCAGGGGATGGCAGGACCAGGTGCCACCGGGCAGGAGGCTTGAGGGATCTCAGGGTCAGGCAGCCCCTCACCTGTCGGAGGGATCTTCTCACCTGTTCCCACTCTGCCCAGTGGCCAGCTCAGCTCTTCTCCCTGGCAAGAGGAGGAGATAACCTCTGAGTAATTCTTTTTTTCCAAGTTTCACTGATCTCCAGTACTAGAAAGTGATGAATAAGTCTGTGGTTTGCTATGGAGGTTCCATGTCAGATAAAGATTCTTCCGACATCCGCCCCACTCGTCGGGGTGTAGGCACGAGGCCTCAGCGTATAAAAGACAGGAGACCGTGTCGCATGCTTCAGAACGCCACAAGGGACCAGGACAAGGCAAAATACACCCTGTAGCCCGAACATGAACAGCCTCCCCATCCTGCATCTTCTCCTGTTCCTGCTTGGATTCCAAGCCCTACAGGCACAGGGGAGGTCCTTGTCGGCATACCAGCCTAAGCAATACTTCAAGATGATCAGTGAAATTATGGACATCTTAAACACTTCACCCTCGCCTTCAGAAGTGAGTAACTGGGAAAAGGTGGGCAGAGGGCGGAGAGGGGCTCGCAGGTGTCTCAGGCCAACAGGACTCACGGCTCTCTCTCCCTCGGCCCCCACAGGAAACCTTGGACCCAAATGAGATAAACACCCTGCTGGTAAGCACTCAGCCCACACTTGGGCACACCTGGATCCCAATCCACTTTCTGCCTGTCACCCCACCTCGCCTAGCCTCAGTGTTTCCTCTGCCAACAGGGTTAACAGGGTGTATCTCAGTGGGGTCACTGTGAGAATTCTGTGGAACCAGTGCATAGAGTCACCAGACGAGTGTCAGGTGTTAGCAAGTGTTCAATACATTTTCCCAGCCGGGTCTATAATAGGAAAATGTTTTTTTTTTTTTTTTTTTAATTACAAATGAAAAGGCAGCTATAGGTGAACAATTCCAAAGGCCTTAAGCTCTTCATTTTTCAGTGGGGCAGCCTAAAATTTCCCCCATGAACTTGCCTTCTTCCTTCCTTTTCCTTGAGACACTGAATCCTGTTTCTCATGCTGACTGGCCCTGGGCGTTATCGTTCACACTTATTTTTCCTAGTTTCAGTTGGCTTCCATGGTTATCTCACTTTTGTTTGCATGGCAATCCTTGGGTCCAGCAGGAGGTTGAATCTCTCCTGAGTTTGTTAGCCATGTATACCCCCCTCTTTTTTCACAGGCTGCACCCATGTCCTGCTGGGGTTGGGGTCTCTGCAATTTTCTTCCTGATTTCTAGGAGCCCTTCATTCAGTCAAGGCATTAATCCTGTTATCTGGCCTCTTTGCTGCAAATACTCCCCTTGGCCAGCCCTCCACCTTTTGTAGATCTTCTTTTGGGCAATACTTTCCCCCCCAAGTGCAGAAAGATCCACCCAGGCCCTGTGTGCAGCTTATCTGGAGCCAGGGGCTTGGGGCTGAGGGAAGTAGGCCTTGCTTGGGGTGTACACTCGCCTCGAGGCCTGTGCCCTTAGGGGCATCTCAGGGACCCACCTGGGGCAAGAAGGGGACTAGGAGGGGGTTGTCCAAGGATGTCCCTGAAAGCAGACTTGGAAAACTGGGGATGACTTCAGCCATGGGAAGGCTGAACCCCAACCTTTTCCTCTTACATGTATTCTCGGTCCCCTTAGAACACTACTCTTCTGAGGCCAAACCTGGATGCATTCTTGAATGCTACCAAAAATTTCTACAACAATGAGTCACTAATCTGGAAAAATCTTAAGGTGGGTAGAGCTGTTGAGGGTTTTGGGGATCCCCGCATTGGCCCTGACCAGCCTCTGGGAAGGGGAGGCAAGGCCTGCTCCTTTTCCAGGTGAGTCTCTGACTGTCTGCTTTGGTCTCTTCCCACAGGAATTCCTGCCACTCCTGCCCAATCCCACACCCAGGGTAAGCTGACCCCCAAGATGCCCCTGCAGGTGGGACTCTCAGCCATGACTTGACCCCTAGCCTGTCATCTACCTTCAACCTAATGCCACCTTCCTGGTTTCTTCACAGGGAGAACCAATCTATATTGAGAATAAACGGGATGATTTCCAAAAGAAGCTGAAAAAATATCTGGAAGCCCTTGATAACTTTCTGACTTTCAAGAACAAGCACTGAGTCCTAGAGTTCTGTAGGATGTCCCTCCGTCTCTGGGCCCTCTCACCATGGGGCCTTGGACATCAGACACAGCAGGACACCTGAATACTCTGGGATGTCTCTCACACAATCCAGGGATTTCATTTTCTCTGGTGGAGTTAGATGGATTGTTCATGATCTAATTTCTGAAATGTGCTGCCCCCATTTGGCCTTTTGTGATGATGTTCTCATTTTAATCCTATTGAAGTTATTTATTTATGTATGTTTTTATTTATTATCTTATGCAATATGAAGTGTATTTATTTTAGAAAAGGAGCCTATGTCCTGCTCCTTCTAAACAAGACTCAAGAGGGGGACTTGGGGCTTGTTCATTTGTACCTCAGGTTTTAAACTGATTTCTACACATCCGAGAAAATAAACCACACTCTCTGAACAACTGCTTTGTTGCCAGTGTCTCAATTTGACTCAGGTCTTAGTAAACCTCTTGCCTGATGACTGAGCAGCCCTCCACCCCCCACCCCCAGCAAGTCTCCCTGCCACCGGATGGGTCCTGGAACCCACACCCTGGCAATCTGTGGTCTACTGGGGAGCCAGATTGAGTTTTAGAAAATACAAATCTGACCAGGTTGGTCTGATACTTAATTTCCCAGTCCTCAGGGGTTTCTGGACCTTGTCCTTAGCCTTAAGACAGCAAAAGAGGCCTGCCTCCACCTGTTGTTTCTATTTCCTTATGCCTACAACTACCAACGTCCTTGATGTGCCAGCCAACAGAAGCACTGTGGCTTCCGGGACGAACCACACGCCTTTCTTGATACCTCTAAATTTTTACCCACATCGACCCCTCACCCTCAAATGCCCTGATCCTGACTCCACATGGTGAGTTCCTACTTCAGAGACCAACTCAAATGCTGCCTACCTCTGCTGTCCACACTATTCCAGGACAGAGCTCTTGTCTGAAATATGTAGGTAGACAGGGACCCACTGGAAGGACAGCCATGTAGCCCAGGGCAGCGCAGACTGATGTGGATGGTGGAGCCTGGGAGATCACTGAGTATGGTTTCATTGTGCACCTGACCCTTGACGTCCCAGGGACCCTTTGGCCCTGAGTGCCTCCCTCTCTGGCTCCCCGGCATCCTGCATCTCCTCCAGTCTGGGCTTGTGGGGCAGAAAGGGGAGAGCGAGGCTTCCTCTGTCGCCACGCTAAGGACCAATGTCATCCCCTCTGACTCCTCACAAGTCCCATAAAGGCTTTGGATGCCAACATCAGATGCTGGGGGCCAGGCCCTCTTCTCTTCTGTTTCCCGGCTTTGATCCACCCCTCCCCTTTCGTGCTGGGTAAGGAACAGCCCAGCTGCTTGAATGGGACAGCAGGAGGTCAAAGAGGGATCTGGTACTACCTCAGAAATATATTCCTCCACATTCCTCCTCCTCATAAAATTTTGTGTTCCCACAAAACTAATTTTCTTCTCACTCTTCCCCCCTCTCTCCAGCCTGGCCCATGGACGGCACTGTGGGTGCTCAGCGAAGATTCTGTGTTGCCCGGGGCGGTGGGAGGAGCTGGAGAAGCTGCTGCAGTTTCTGGTGGAGCCACTAGGGGGAGCCGGGCCACTGGATGACGGTGCGCCCAGAGAGTCCGGGTCCCCAGCCGGCTTTCCCGCTTCTCCGGCTCCCCTGCCTCCCTCGCTCTCCCACCCGCACCGGGCGGCTGGTCCTAATTTCATCCTGGCTGAGGCAGGCATTTGTGCCCCACTCCCATGTGCCCGGGATGAGTGCCTGCTCGTCACCGCCTCTTCATTCCCTGGAGAGTGGGTCCGCAGCCCTCCGCCTCTGCCAGCCCTGCTACCCTCTGTCCTGGTGGAGAGGAGACGGACCTGGCCTGTCCTGCCATGCTTCTCCCACGCCTCCTCCTCAGCAGGCCAGAGCCGATGGTGGATGGAACCAGCTCATACTGGCTCACAGAGCCAATTGTTCAATCTTTTAACAAGTTGCCAACCAGTTATCAAACGATCTGTAGCTTGAGATTGGGCCCAGTGACAGTATTTACACTATGGACATCAGCAAATGCTACAACGTGGACTCCTTCCACTGGGAATCTGTTAACTTTCACCAGCTGCTGGAGCTCCTCTCACCTGGCAGTCTGCCATTTTGTTCTTACCTGGCTGTCCCCATTCAGGGCCCCTTCTGGAAGATCCACACTGTTCTCACTCCAGGCTGGATGGCACGACACTCCTTCAGTGCCTTGGGATTCATCCATTCAGCAAACTCTGGCTGGGCACCCATGTGTCAGGGCTTGTCCTGGATGCCTGGGGTTATGGCAGTGAACTAGCCCGATGGAGTGGGGCTGGGGAGGTTGCCTTACACTGAGCGGTCTGGGAAGGCCTTTCTGAGCAAGTCACACATAGGTTGCAACCTGAATGAGGAGAAAGTGCCTGCTGTGTGACAACACGAGGAAAGAGCTCTGGACAGAGAGAACAGTGCAAAGATCCAGAGACTGAAATGGGCCGAAAGCATTCACAGAACAGAAGGAAAACCGTGATAGGAGTGAATGCTGGTGGGGAGCCCACAACCCTCCTTCAGCCTCTTCCCTTTCCCTCCTCAGGCCCAGGCCCTGTTTGAGTGACTCATGACTGAGGTGGGAGCGAGTGGTCAGTCAGACACAGATCTGGTGCAGGAAGATCTGGGGGGGGTGTTGAAGGGGGAGGGGAGCTCCGCAAAGACAGGCCCAGAAAGCAGCGGGGAGACAAGTGGCAGTGACATGCGTGAGAGGAGGTGAGCCTTTTCAGATACTCTGGGGTCTCCCCTTCTTACAGAACAGTCCAGCCTGCTCCAGGTTGGATTGGGATGAACATGGGCCTGATCCACTGAGGCTCACCCTTGATCCCAAACCTCAGATCTTGCCTGGGGCCAGTACAGCCCTGGGCTGGGGCCTGGAACCAAGTGGTGGTCAGTTCCCAATCAGGTTGGGGCCCTTCTATACCATGTTCAGGCACCTGCTGGGAGAGGTGGTGACTCCTTGGCCTAATGGGAGGTCCCGGGGTACTCACATCTCCCCTGCAGGTCTGTTAGTTTCACGTCTTTCTGAGCCTGCCGAGAGCTCCTTAGTGCCAGGTCTGTAAGTCCATCCGCCACCAGTGGGCAGCAAAGCCCCATCGTAAATCCCAAGAAGGCCCTCTGAAAACCTTCACAAATCCAAGGTGTCTTTTCAGCTGGAAAGTAGATGACCTCAACGAGGAATTTTATTTTTTAAGAAATATTGTAGCTTTACATCAGAAGGGCAATATAAGAGAGCATATATGCTCTTTACTAAAAAACTTGGAAATACAGAAAAATCAAGCACAGAGAAATTGCTAGGAAGGCAAGCCTGGAAGGAGAGGATCCCCTCAGACACATCGGCACCTCACTCCATAGAGAGAACCCTCCTGCTCCAGAAGGGGCTCTGCTCTTCCCACCCTATCCTGGAAACTGCATTTGACTTAGTTCAGTAAATACCTGGAGGACTTTCCACAGCTTCCTAGGCTGGGGCCAGGGCTTGGGGAGATGCTGAGCCAGGCCCTGGGGGCCGCTTGGCCATGTCCCAGCACAGTGCCGTGGGGGTTATTACAGACACAGTGATGGATGAACAGGTACAGGTCTTGTTAGGGGGCTTCCCACAGATGGTGATGCACAGGGAGCTTGAGAAAGGACTAGGGGTTCATCTTGCAGAGATGTAGGAAAAAGGATGGCAGGCAGATGACACTGGCAAGCAAGGGAATGAAGATCTAAGACTACAAGGTAAGCTGGGAGGACGGGGAGCATCCAGGCCACTTATAGGGCCGGAGTGTGTGTGTCAAGAGGCTCAGTGGAACCAGGCCCTCCAGAGCTTCCTTGGTCACTGCCTTTGCCTCTGGAGCCCAGTCACCCTGGGCCTTGGGCACCTCTGGGTCTCAGCCTGGTCCCCTCCCCCATTCATTCTTCTCTGATCCCAGGACAGCCTAGCCTGGCCTGGCCACTGTGGAGACAGCAAGACCTAACAACCATGGCCTGAGGAGTGGTGCGTGTACAGATGGAGAGGGATAGGATGGTGCCACATTGGACGCCATGTTTAATGTCCACAGGAAGGAGCCAGAACAGAGGGAGAGAGATGCTGAATGAAAGAGGAGCAGCCAAGCAGAGCAGAATCCTTGGGCCCAAGGTGGGCAGGAGGGAGAGGCAGAGGCTGTGTGGGCCAGAGTGGAGGGTTGAGTGAATTCCTTCTGGGGGCCAAGAACTCAATTTTTCCCTTGAAAATCTCAGGTCAGGCTTATGGAGTGGGAGATGGATCAGGCAAAGTTGCTGCTGCCCTCCTGGACTGAAGAGGGGCTCAGGGAATCCCCTCAATGACCCCATCAAGTCTACAATTAACCCCATTTTACACATGAAGAAACTGAGGCACAGAGAAATTAAGGGAGTCTGACTACAGAGCCTGTGAATCTTTAAGCCGCAGTGCTTTGGCCAATGCCCACTGAGGCATGGGAGCCTTTCAAGTCTAGTCCCCTGGCTGGACCCAGTCCTCTAGAGGGACCTCCTAGCTCTAGAGCCTCGTGGTTCCAGCTCCAGCGGCAAGCGGCACAGCCACGGAGCCTCAGCTCCATCTTTCCCTTACCGAGCCACCAAACAGGGACCACCCAAATCCTCCACACGCCCACCGTCCCTCCTCCTCCCCAGCGCCGCCCACGTACACACACCCTGGGGCTTAGATCCAGAGCTTGGCCCTCCGTGGTCCTGTCCATGTGTCCCCCATCCCCACGCCTCACGGAGTTTCTGAGAGAGACACCACCGGTTCACTTCCGCAGACAGCTGCTCCCCATCCCAGCTGTCCCTGGCACTTCCTTCAGTGGGCACCATGCAAGTGTCCTGGCCAAGCCCTGCCCCAGAGGGTACACGGGCTGTGCAGAGGCCGCCCAGGGGCAGCCAGGGACGGCAGGCTGTGTGGATGAGGATGTGCGCCTCTGCGGTGGTCATGTCAGGGAGGCAAGGGGAGGGCAGCCCCTGGAATGCGAGGGGAAGGAAAATGGCCGGCCGGAGCTGGCGTGAGAGGACATAGTCATAGCCAGAGCCGTAAGAGCACGGGAGTGGGGAGTGGGGTGGCGGAGTGCTCCCTCCCCTCCTCCTTCCACTCTGTCTGTCCTGATCCCTGTGGGCCTACGGGGGCCCTCCTGATTATGGTAACAGTACTACTACTACTACTACTACTACTAAACCAGACAGCCACTGCTCCCCCTCAGAGGGGCTGTGAGCCTTGAATCAGGGACGGGCATGAAACACCAGGGACAAACCCACCTGTACCAGTGGGTACCCAATAAATATGACTCTGTTCTCCCCCGGCTGATGGCCAGACTCAATGGCTGCTTGTTCCTATAAGGCCCTGGGCCATGGGCAGCCTGGGGCCACCTCCTCCTTGCCAGAACAGGGGGCGGACTAGGGAGGATGGTCCCCTGTCTGGATGTTCTCAGTTGGCTCTTTCCCTGTGACTGATTTTCCAGTTAGTCGACCTCATATATCCAGGATTTGCCTCCTGGGGCTGGGAGGAGGCAGGTATTTGGGTACTGGGGAGGGGGTCTGTCTGTACAGGGAAACCCCTCTTCAGGAAAGCCTACCTCCAGGCCTTGAGAAGGCTCTAGAGGCTGGTCTACATCCCAGCAATCACTCTCCTCTCTTAAGGCCAGGGAGATAGAGGCCAGGGGTGGGGAGGCACCCAGTCAGCCAAAATAGAAAACATCACTTCATGTAGCCCAGTACTCTCCAACAACTGCAAAGTAGGCCTCCATCCTCTTGTGGAGATGAGCCAACTGGGGCTCAGAGATGGAAGTCATGGCTTGAGGTCATGCAGCAAGAAGGGCCAAGCTTGGAGGCAAGCCTCCAACTCTGCATTCATTGTAAAGGGAGTTGCTGTACTCCAGCAGGCTACACGGGGAACTCAGCACAACCCATACTAGGGGGTGGCCTGAGGGAGTGAGAAATAAAGAGATGTTGCGGGAGAGAGAGTTTTTGAGTCTATGGCCCCAAGGCTGGGAGGAGAAATTCCCAAGGAGCCCCTTCAGCCATCCTGGAGACACTTCGTGGGCCAGCCCCCTCTACAACTCGCCCATTCATTGTTACCTTTATCACTACTCCTCCTGGGCCCTTGGCCTGAGAGCAGGGGTTGTTCACTCTTCTTAGGGGCTGGAGGCCTCTGGGTAAGATGCCAGAGGCAGAGGTACATAACAAGGAGCAGAGGGTGGCCTGGAGGTTCAAGGCCAGTGCCCTCTGGGACCTAAAGACCCAGAAGCAAGAGATGGACCTGCCCAAAAAGAGACTCAGTGAGAGTCTGAGGGAGCCCTGGCATTTTGGAAATGTCCTGAAGGAGGCTCATTCCAGAACCGCCAGAACGGAAAGCCCACATCTGCAACCTTGATTCTGGCCCATCAGCTCCAGACGGAGGCAGGAGTGGGAGCTGGGCACAGATCCCCAGGCTCTTACCCAGCACACTGGACTGGAGTCCAGCCTCAAACACAAAGGGCAGTGAGGGGCATGATAGGACTCTGAGAGCTGTAAAAGCTTCTGGTCTAATGATTTTTCTTCCTTTTCATTTTTAATGCAGCACCCACTGGCTCTTCCCCAAGGAGGCAAATAAAGGAAGTGGCTCCTTCTGGATACCTGATGACATCCTAGCTGGGGGGGGATGAGGCCAGGGGACAGACATTCAGAGATTCACAGGCAGAGGATGCACCTCCAGCTCTGGAGAAAATACTCTGGGCAGGAGGCATCATGAAGGGCATGCCTGGAGCACCCACCCATGGGGTGTCACTGGCCTGAGTGTGCAGTTGTTGGGTCCTGAGGAAATACCAAGAAAGTCCCGAGAACCAAGGAATGAAGCAATAAAGGTTGTATCATCATTCTTGGCCCAGCCTTACAAGTTGGGACCCCTGAGCACTACCCAAGGCCCCGCTTACTCTGTGCAGCCCTCTGGGAGGAGAACTTCCTCTTCATCAATGACTTCCAAGTGTCTTGGGTTCTGACCTCTCCTTGACCTCTGGGCCCATGTAGCCACAGCTGACGGAGTCTTCCTGGAGGTCCCCTGGCCTCTTAAACTTGCCACATCCAGTCCAGTCTAGAACAACTCCCCAAACTTCTCTGCTACCTTGGGTCTCTCCCATTGCAGCAAATGGCCTCACTGTCCACCCAGCTGCCTGAGCCAGAACCCTGAGTGCCAGACTCCTCACTCGCCTCCTGACCCAAACCCACACATGCATCTGGTCCCTTCAAGGCCTTAACTGTTTTCATTCCTACTTCTTGATTGCCCCCTCCTGTCTGTTCATTCTCTGTACACATGGTGGTTGATGCCCTCAACACTGTGTCCGTGAATCTGGGCCTCACCCTCCCTGCTCCCTGCCTAACGTGACCACCAATCATTAGCTCTGAGTGCAGGGGCTGTGAGGTTGGTGACATGTGGTGGGCCCTCCTATAAGCTTGGCTGTATGGAATCAGAGTCCACATATGGTTAATGGTTAACCACCCTCTCAGATCCTTCCATACCAGTCAGAACTCACCAGTGCCAGGGACTGGGAACACCCAAAAAGCAGGATAAGAGTTGCGACTGCCTTGGACAGGCTGGGTCTTTTTGAGCTATACCTTCCCTGCCAACACTTGCAGGCATGTCCCTGTACAGCTGCCCTGAGGGGGAACATCCCTATGCTGGTCTAGGTGAACAGCATTTCCTGACTTTCTGATCTCTGAGAAAGTAGCAGAGGTCGGGGGGGCAGGAACAGATATGGGTCCAAATGCTGTGTCTGCCATCACTGTGTGAGCTAGGCGGACTGCTGGTCTCCTGGACTGCCACACCAAGGGCTGGCCGGCCCAGCAAAGGTGAGATCAACCGAGATGCCCATGTAGAGGTCCCATGGGGTGTAAAGCACCAGGAGGCCCGTTCCCTTCCCATTGTGATAACTTCCTCTGAGATAAGGAGCTCAGAGTGGCCACAAGCCCCCATTTCCTCCACAGCCCGTGGGAGGACACTCACAGGAAACCCCTTCCAGAGGGTTTTCTCCTGGCCCTGTGGGAAGGCGGGGCCAAGAGGAGTCACACTGCCCACCACGGTCCCTGCCCCCACCCTCCCACAGCCCCATCCGGGGCCCCTGAGTCAGCACACACACTCGATGTTATCGCTAACACTTTCCATGCGGTGCAATCTAGGAATGCCTGCTCGTGTCATGGCCTCAGCCTTGATGTCATCTTTCCAGAAGAAAGATGTGTGGCTGCCCACCAGCCTCACAGCCAAACCCAGGGACTCTGTCCTTCGCATGGTGACTTGGGTGCCTGTAGGGCAGCTGCCAGAATGACCTTCTCCTACGGCTCCTCTTTCTCCTCCTTTCCTGCTCTCCCAGAGCCTTGGCCACTGGCCAGTCACTCACATCTCTAGCATGCCCCTAGCCCTTAAACACTGCTGTGCTGGGCCCTCAGCCCTTCTTCCTGGCTAACCCTTTCTGGCCTTAGTGATTGCACGGACACAGGCCATCCACATCCAGGTCCGTCTCCTGCACAGGCAGCCTCCAAACCACTGTCACTTCCTGTGGGTCCTGAGACACTGCAAACCTGCTCCTTCATCCCTAGCTGCCCAGCTTAGATGCCTGGACAGTGGTTCTAACTCTTTCTACTTATATTCAAAAGCACCCTCTGGGGAGGGTGTTGAGTAGATGAATCTTGCTTCTCCATCCACGGGGCTACAGAGTACATAAAGGTAGTGCCCTGTTTTCCACCATCCCTGTATTCTCCTCCCCTGCCGGGAACCTAGTAGGTGCTCAATAAAAATGAATGAATGACGGAATTACTCCATTGTATCAGCAAGTCCTGAATAATTCTACCTCCTAAATCCCTCTGGAATCTGCCTCCTCCTCACCATATCTGCTCCTAAAACTGTCTCTTTGTTCCCCAGATACTCTTCCACTAGGCTGTCCTCTCCCTCCCTCCCACAGTCTGACTTGCCCACCCGATGCTACTAGCCCTTTCAGCCTGTGCTGGGAGGCCGCATCTCCCAGGAAGCTCTTTGATCCCCTGCGAGGCCCCGAACTGGGAGAAGTGTTTTCTTGGGATTCCTCAGCTCTGAACTTCCCCCATCCCAGCCTGGATCCACATAATGGGAGGGTCCAGTGCTGTCTGTCTCCCCTACCAGGCTGAGAGCCCCTAGGGCCAGGTGGGAGGGCCATTGGGAGGGTCCCATCCACTTCCTCCCCAGCACAGGGCCTGATGTGGATTGGAAGAGTTTGTTGACTGAGCTGTGACGACTCATTTCCAAAAGAAAAGTCACCTTCCATCTCAGAGGGGCCGCACCAGCTCTGTGCCTCCTTGACTATCAGCTTCGCCACTGCCTGTGGCCCCCACTCTCCACCACCCAGGTTCCAGAACACTGCCTGACACAGACCTCCACTCTGAGGCATCTGTATCTAGTGTTCTTGACCTCTCTTGTGCCTCCTAGGAGCTCCCCAGAAGGGGCAGAGTAGAGCCCTCATGGAAAAGCGAGAAGGACCAGGGCCTGGACATGCCGTACTCTCACCCCAGCCTGGCCACCTGGGAATGTTCCACCAGCTCAGAAGGGCAGGGATGGCAATATGTTGGGCCCCAGTGGTGTCTGGAGGACTAACATCTGTCTTCCCTATGCAAGGGCAGCAGCCCTTCTGCCATCCAGTGAAACCTGCCAGGGCCACAGGCTTGGGCCACAGTACTTAGACCGGGAGTCCTACCCGGTGTTGAGCCCAGCAGAGTATCATCGCTTGTGTCCTACCCCATCAAACTAGCACATTGGGGGTCCAAAAATCTCACACCCATTGTGGGGAGCTTCTCTCTATCAGAGGGCCATCTGCAGAGGCACGGGGGCTCACATGGGTGCACCTCATGTAAAACATCCGATCACACTGGGGCACACTCAGAAGTCTGCACGTGGGCACCCCACACCCCTGCGCCATGAAACTCCAAGCGTGGGGCAGCAAACACAAACTCGTGCTGTCCTCTCCAAACTCCATTGTGAAAATCAAACACTTGTCAGCCCCTCAAGAGCCTGTGGCTTTTTCAGAAGCAGTTCCTGTTCCACAGAGAGGCCTCTGGAACTGGAGGTGAGCTGGGGTGGGGGCCATGTAGAAATGAAGCCTGGAAGACCTTGTTTGAGAAGCCGCTGTCCCCTGCCCCCTGCCATGGGCTACACGTAGGAGCGCAGTGCCTATCTCAGATGGGCAGTCTGGCCCGCAGAGGGAGGTGAGGCTCGCATAGTTCAGAACAAAGAGTCACTTAGCAAGGTGGTACTGGAGCCAGAACTTGAACTCAGAGCCCCAATCCACCTCTGCAGCTTGGGGGTTGAACACAGCTGTGAAAAGGGGACTGTTGCTGTCAGATGGGATCTTACCACGAAGGCACACTCTGCAATCTTGCCGGCTGGATGTCCCGTGCACACACCTGTCATTCTCCCTGCTCACAGGGGCTGTGGGGCAGAGGTCCCTGGGTGGGCAGAGCTTGCCAACTACTCTGGATCCTTGCTGGGAGCTGTCGCAGGACTCTGCCATCTGGCTGGATTCTGCCTAGGTGGACACTGTGCAGGCCTGTGAGGGTCTTCCTCCCACTCAGATCTCTCACTGTGGCCAGAGGAGAGGGATCTAGGAGGAGAAGGGGGAGGCTGGGCTTGGAATGGGCCCCAGAGGCACAGCCAGCCCAAAGACTTCTTGGGATCAGAGGCAGGGTGGAGAGCCTGGGCGTAGGAGCTCAGGCAGTATATCTCCCAGGCCCCGCCCTGGCCACTCCAGGCCAGGAAGTCCAAGCTGTGCCCAGAGGCCCCTCAGAGGGAGGGGGCAGCCTCATTGGCCAGACTACCGGGGAGGGGGCTGGAGAGCGCTCAAGGAGGCAGGCGGGTGCGCTGCCAGTTCTTGGAAGGGCTCATGAACGAAAACCCCTGAGCCTGACCACCTGGAGGAAAGGCTCACCGTTCCCATGTGTGATAAGGGCCAGGAGATTCCACAGGTCAGGTAGTTCCCCCACCCCCCTGGCGTTTTGTGGTCACCATTAATCATTTCCTCTAACTGTGTATATAAGAGCTCTTTTGCCAGTGAGCCCAGTACTCAGAGAGAAAGGCTAAAGTCCTCAGGAGGATGTGGCTGCAGAACCTGCTTTTCCTGGGCACTGTGGTCTGCAGCATCTCTGCACCCACCAGCTCCCGCAGCCCTGTTACCCGACCCTCTCAGCACGTGGATGCCATCCAAGAGGCCCTGAGCCTTCTGAACAAAAGTAGGGACGAGACTGCTATGATGGTGAGTTAGGGAGCGAGTGCAGGCTGTGCCTGGGCCACCTCACTGGCCTGGACTGGCCCTGCCTGTCAGCTTCATCAAACGGTATTTTGCTTTTCTACAGAATGAAACAGTAAAAGTCGTCTCTGGAATGTTTGACCGCCAGGTAAGATGCTTCACTTTGACACACCTTCCCAGAGGCCTCTACTTTTGGGGGGGTGGGGTGGCTCCATTTCAGATGAACTCTCACAGGGTGGTCGTCGGTCCACTTCTTCTCCAGTCAGCTGGCTGCCAGGAGGGGCTCTCCGGAGGCCACTGGCCTTGCCCCTGTGGCAGTCATGTGAACTCCTTCATTAGCCAAGCAGCCACGGGCAGACTTAGCATTCAAGGGGCCTGGGGTCACCAGGGGACAGGTGGGTAAGAGGCAGTTACTTGAAGACACAGGGGCTGTGGGCTTGGGGCACTTATGAGACTAAGCCCTGTGAAGACAGCGTGCTGGCTACAGAGAGGCACAGAGAGATTTCAGAAACAAGCCTTGTTCACTTTTCAGGTTGGGGTGGGGGGGGAATGCTCCCCCCTGCTACCTTCTCCCTGAATGGTGGAGGGATAGTGACCTCCTTTCCTGGAGCCTGGGACCCTCTCGAGATGCCAGGGAATGTGGCTGTGCTAGCTGAGGGTAGCCTGAGCTGAATGGTGCAGATTTGTGTTGGCATGAACAGAGCGGTGTGTATGACTGAACCCGGCATCAACCTGTGCCCCTCCCAAGTCCTCCTCTTGGGGGACAGGGCTGAGAACAGGAAAGAGTGACGGGGAGCGTGTCATGTGCCCACCAGAGGGCACTTGTCCACTACTCGCCAAGTAATGGACATTTCCCACAGGAGCCGACATGCCTGCAGACCCGCCTACAGCTGTACAAGGACGGCCTGCAGGGCAGCCTCAGCAGCCTCAAGCAACCCCTAACCCTGATGGACAACCACTATAAGCAGCACTGCCCTCCTACGCCGGTGAGTACCCACATCAGGGTCCCAAGCGGGAAGGTCTTGGTCTAGGAGGGTGGAGGGGTGGATAAGAAGGGATCTTCGGCTGTAGCTGTTCAGGACCCCAAAGGGGTTCTGTGTCAACAGATTTGTCAGCACTAGTCCCTCTAGAGAGTGAGCAGCCCTGCCCATTTTCATCCCTAGGAGTTAAAGCCATGGAGCTCTGGGGGCTTATACACTCCCCAGCGGGAGCCGCTTCTGTCCGTATTATCATTGATGAGGTCAGAGGTGAGGCAAACCCAAGGAAACTCAGGTCCTGCCTAAGGCCCAGGGTATATTCTGGGGCCCAAGTGCCACCAACGTGGCCCCTTGTGAGGTGCCTAATTGCATGGGAGCAAAGAGGGGGGTCACACCCAGATTGGACAAAGGCCCCAAACACTCCTTTTCTGTAGGGAGTGAGGCTCATGGCCTTGACTCCTGCCCCTTCTGGGCTGCTGGCCTGAAAGCGAGGAGACGCCGGCCCAGCCGCCCGGCCCAGCAGACCAGCTTCGGGCTGGCGTGCTGTCAGGCCCCTGGCAGAGTTGTGCACCCTTCGGGTGACACACGGTGGCAAGCTTGTCATCTGACCCAGGTCAGCAGGCGGGCTCCAAATGGGCCTTCCGGCCTCTGAGTTCTAGAGGGCAGTGCAGAAACGCACCAGTGCTTCCCCCACATTACCCACTCACACCTGGACTCAAAGTTTTCTTGTTCTTTTTTTTTTCCAAGGAAACTCCCTGTGCAACCCAGACTATCACCTTCAGAAGTTTCAAAGAGAACCTGAAGGAATTTCTGTTTAACATCCCCTTTGACTGTTGGCAGCCAGAAACAACAGAGGCCAGTGCAGCCAGGAGCCAGCCCTGAGAGCGCAGCTCCCAAATCACTGCCCTCCTCCCCATGGATGGCTGAAACCCAGGATCTTCACCTTTGAGGGACCATAGCGCGGGCCAGAGCTGTGGGGGGCACGGACTTGCTCTGAGCCATGCTGCCCCTGATACCGGCTCGGTATATGGGGAGTGGGGAATGTTTTACATTGGCAGGGATCCGTAATATTTATTTATATATTTATGTATTTTAATATTTATTTATTTATTTATTTAAGACCATACTCTGTATTTATTCAAGATGTTTTGCCATAATAATAAATTATTAAAAACCTGTTCTTATTTGTGCAGTTTCCAGTTTGTTTTCAACCATGAGCAAAGGCTGATGGTGCTCTCCTCCCCATAGGGCAAGGTGGCGGGGGGCAGGGGAGAGGAGCCGCCAGGTTCGGGAAGGGGCAGGGTGCTCCAGCAGGGGCAGCCCTGACAGAGCAGAGGGGAGGTAAGAGTTGGCCTGGGCACTGCACTCTGCACACCCAGATGTGCTCCGCTGGATACTCAAGGGCTCCCACTGCAAAAAGAGGTTTTCCGGTTCACTTGGAAGTCCAAGGCACCTGGTCAGTGGGAACTTGCTCCAGGACAAGTCCATCGTACTTCGTGAGAAGGCTTGGGAGTTCCTGGGGCTTGGCTGGCCACTGGCTGAATGGGCCTGCCCTACAGTGAGGCAAACACCTGTGCCCCTCAGAGGCCTGGCCCTGTGGCCACACCCTGGTCCTCACACTCAGGGCCTCAGCCACTCCTAAGGTGAACCAGTAGATAGACTAGCTGTTCAGGGGGGGAAAAAACAAAACAAAACCACAGGGGTCAGAGCCCAGCATATTTACCAAACTTTCCCCCAAATGGGTGATCCTAATCTGTGAGAGTCAGAATGTATATTCGGAATCTGTCAGTACGCGGCTCTAGCGTGGCATTTTTCTGAGCTGGCTTTTGTTTTTACATGAAGTTTTGCATCTAACCAGGTGCCTTCCTCTAAAACCCAAGGCCTTCAGGCCAAGAAACAGCAGCGCTCCATTCTTCCCTTGCTTTGCCAGCCTGGTTGGAGGCTGTGTTCCGAAACCTGTTCCCCTGTCTCCCTCCCGGGGACTATGAGGAAGTGGGTGTGTCTGCAAGTGTCAGGTGGACAGGACAGCAAGGCCAGCCTTCTCCTTGACAGGGGGGCCTGAGGAAGCTGGCTTGGTGCCCCTGCCTCGCTCTCTCTCCACCCCGCCTACTCTCTCTGCTCTGGCCTGCACCTGCAGACAGCACCGGTCCTGGCCAAAGACCTGTCCCAACAAGCAGGCAGAAAGGTCATGACTTGAAATGTGAGTACAAATAAAAATTCTTAGACCAAGCGTGATTTTCAGCAAAGACAAGAATCCAAGAAGCGTGCTGTGGTCATAGAAAAATGCATGAAAAGCACATTTGCCCGGCGATAAGGTCCTCTCTGTCTTCCACGTAAGCCAGTGATGACTGATAAGAGATTTAGCATTTCCTTAGACTCACATATATAGGTACACCTCTCCACAGAAATGCTGCCAAGCCCAGGGCTCAGATCGGCTTGCAGCTACCCTCAAGTCTTACCATGTACCTGTACGTGTTCCTGGCTTGTGCACTCTGGGGATCAGAAAACCACTGTGCCTCCATGAAGACAGCCAACGTGTCTGCCTACGACAATCACACGGCAGTCTGTGCTGAAATTCAGAAAGAACTTTCGGCTGACAACATTATATACAAGGTAAGTCTGGGTCTTCATCAAACATCACTTTGCTCTCAGTGGCCCTTTGTGTTTCTGACCAATCTCTCCTGCTTTCAGGGTTCCTTCAAAAGGCCCCAGAACACCAGTGAGGTAAGGAACCGTTGCCGCATGGACCTTTCTGATCACATTTGAAAGGGATCATCACCCCAATCAGCATCCAGCGCAGAGATAAGAACAAAAGAGTGAGGAATCTGGCCGGGGGGTGGGGGTGGGGTGGGGGAAGCAGAGTTTGAGTTTGGGGCCTCCAGCTCAACCAACAGATGAATCAGTGGCCAGATTCTAGGCTTTTCCAGGCTCTCTGATCATCACCCCAGATTAGCCCTGGGCCTGGGGAGAGACCCGACACCCATTTCACCTGTGGGACACCTGCGGGACAATCAGGGTAGGGCCTGAATTTGAGTTCAGGGCTCCATCTGGCCAGGGTGACCAGGGATGGACGAGGCTGGGGGTCAACTGGTGCTCAGCTGTACACCACCAACAACTCCCTGCTCCTCACCCCGTTTCAGGAGCCCTGCTATGGGGAGTTTACAAAGGACTTCATCTCCACCCTGAAGGAACTTATGAAATCTAACGAGCATGACCATCACATAAAAAAGGTTTATAAGGACATGAAAGAACTCACCAGAATCTGCCCAAAGCTGCAAGTAAGTTGCTGTTTGCTCTTAGAGGAAACTTAGGCTACCACAGCCAGGGGCCCAGCGGGGCAAAGGGCTTCTTACAGCCCCCACTTGCCCCATGTGAGGCCTTACATACTACTTTCTGACCCAAAAGTACACTCACAGACAAGGGCTGGGGCTTAGGAGGGTGGGGACTTAGGGGTTGTTTCAGAGGTTTCTGTGATGCCCTCTGCCAAGTCCCCAGGCACAGGGGTCAGTGTGGAGCGGGTCTGAGACAGGTCAGAGCAGGGCTGTTGTGTAATCAGCCTGGGGAGAGGGAACAGCTGCTCAGTGCCAACCCCAACGGGGCAGCCAGTCCAAGGGAGTTCCGGTTTGCCCTGCCCCTGGGGCTCTTTCTGGGCTGGTGAGCCCCACTAGGAGCCCACTGTGTGGATGGGCAGTGGTTTAAGGGGGGCATGTCCTTGGGAAATGACCGAGGTGTTCCTCTGTGTGTGCCCCCTTCTTACACAGGCCCCTGTGTGCTCCCCCCTTGCTTGTCCTTGTGACCCTGTCCTGGGCACCTGTGAGACCTGCCCACACTTGGCTGGCTCTCTCCCCACGGCTACAGATGGGCCTCAGACCCTGTGCTCCACTATCACCCGATGCCCCCCAGTGTGCCCCTAAGATAGGTGCAGAGGGCCTGACCAAATTATCTCCTAGGCAGTGGAGGGCTTACAGGACACTTGTGGCTGGTAGTAGAGAGTTTGCTTTTATTTTTTTCTGCTAAAAATATGGCTTAAATATGCATTTCTTATTTAGCCTACAGAATCACCCAAGAACTGCACTACTGAGGAAAGTAACTTCTCACAGTTCAAGGAAGCCTTACAGAGCGTTGTCATATCCATAGAAGGATGGAAATCCTGTAAGAGTGTCAAGAGCAGCCTCTGAGACCCCCTCCTCTCCCTGGGCCCTGGTTAGAGCTTCGAAAAAATGGGATTGGAGGAGCCTTGGGCACAATTTTTAGCCAGGGTGGGGTGGGAGTTTGCTGGCCCTGGGCTGGCTGACGAGCCTGTGGGCAGGTAATGGGGGCAGGGGTGTGCCTCAGGAAATATTCTGTAACTGCTACAACAGCACCCGCTACTTCAATAAAGCAGGTGTATGTAAATGCTGGTGAAAGTCATGACAGAGTCCAGGCTCCTGGGGCCCATGGCGGACCGGAAGGGGCAGGGGGCTGGGGTTGATGGCCCCATCACCAGGACTCCTGACCTGGAGAGCCAGGAGTCTCTCAGGAGGAGAGACCTAAGAGGGTGAGCAGGAGCCCCACCTCGTCTGCCCCTCTGCTGCCCCTCCAGGGTGAAGTGACACCCAGGACGGGCTCCATCAGTGTCTGTGGGGCTTGTTACTAGTCCTCTTCTCCCTGAGTCCTTTAGAACTCGAATCAGATCCTTCCCCAGATCCCCCCGCCCCCAGCTTCACTCAGCACCCAGCCACCCCTGGATCCAAGGGCCAAGACTCAAGGCTCAAGGACCTCCCCTGTGTGATCTCTATGACTGCTCCTGGGGGCTCTAAATCTCATTCATCATCCCCCTTCCCCTGCCCCTTGCTGAGGGCTGATGTGACCACAGAAGGGTCAGACCTGGTAAATGGCACAGGGAAATGGGGGCTTGCAGCCTACTCACAGAGGACTGGGCACAGTGGGGAATGTGGACCAGGTGGGGGGCCCCCACAGTGACCAGGGACATCTCTAAACCCCCAGCTTCTTCTAGACCGGCAAGTAGCTATCTGACTTCAAAGTAAAGCCCTTCACCTACAAAGCCTCTCACAATACCCTTCAGAGCCCCCTTGGGATAAAAGCCCACTCCCCGACTACTGCTGCCCTTACACCAGAGCACGGGGTGCTCCCTGTGGTGAATCCAGCAGCCGCTCTGGTCCTGAGGTGCTGCCACACTGAGCTACCGACCTCTGACCCCTCATCCTCAATTCGAACCCTAACCCTGATTTGAAGAGTTTATTGGAGGTGACAGCCTCCTACCATCCAAACCTCTCAGACCATGAGTTCCTATTGTTCTGGAATACAATTAGGTATCAAGCTGCAACCACAATATGGCTCAGGCCAGACCTGTCCGCAACATCTACCTTCTGACAGACCTTGCCTAGCTTTGAAGCTTCAGATTATGCCTGCAGCCAATGCACAGACGGACCATAGCCCTGCCCACCCCCATCCCTCACTCTAGACTTCTCAGCCCACTCCCTGTGTATCTCCAACTTGACAGGCCACATTGGGCTGAAGGTCAGCAAATGTGACTGAGCGAAGTTGCCAAATTATCTCAGAACATGGAGGGCAGCCCCATGACTCAGGTGTCAAGGCTGATGTGGTCAGCGGTCAAGGATGGTTACAGCCCTGAGGAAGCCCATGGTGCATTCCACAGAGGCTGTGAGCTCCTGTCCCTTGGGCACCCCACATGGGTGCTCAGGGTTTCCAAGGTTACTCCTCTGTGATGAGCACTAGAGCCTGTGGGATGCATGGCAGGATGGGGTTGTAGAGATACACTGGTAAGAAGACCCACCACTTTACTGCCCAGCCTCCTCTGAGCCTGAGGCATCTAACAGTAGAGGCCTGGGGGCTAGCATATACACCCTTGTCATCCCATT